AACGCTTTATCCGACTAGACCAGACGATTTCACGTAAAAAAGTTTAATTTTAGTGGTTCAACCTTATATATGTAAGCAGCTGTAGCGATATGACAGCTTTTTTATTTTCTTATCAGAAGCATTTAGAATCTGTCCATATATATGCTAGTTATGCTCAAGGTTGGCTCAAGGTACTGGGAACTCGGGAAACCGCCCAGCGCGACATCAAGTCCTAGGGCGCCATCATGCCACCATGCCATGTGTTTGCGATTTCCAAAACTAAAGCTTATAAAACCATACTAACGGACGTCCATGACTCAAGACAGATTGAATTATTTCGCTCTTTTGGTAATAGAAAATGATCTTGTAAAGAAAATAGGTTTAGAAAGTATCATGAAAAGACTTGCAGATCTAAAGGCTAGAAATATGTTTTACGTATGATAATGAATGGTTACTTTTGCTTGAATTAAGTAGTATATTGTAATGATCTCCTTATTCTAAATTTTCAGTTTTTCTTCTTTGAAACTTTAAATTAATACATTTGCAAGGACGTCGAATGTCAGCTTACCGCGGGTTCAAGTAACCTTAGGGCGTTTACTTGGTCTACTGAGGAGGCTTCTATAGCGTAATCTGTTCACGAATTATTTCGGTGTGGTTTTATATAGTTTCGTTCCACACATATTGATAACCAAATTTTTTCTCATACCTAGTTTTCACTTCTATTCTGGGACTGATATCGAGCGAATCTCAATCATAAATACAACTATTTGAACAAGGCCAGCATGATGACTTCGTGCTAGCACAGCTATGGAAGGCTAACCTAAAGGTGCCGTCTACCTAATTTCACTCAGAAAGCTTAGGTCAGAGCCGTATGATTTTCAGGCACTTCCGAAAGGTGAACCCCTCCAGTCCGACAACATCAGAAAGTCTCCTTCCTGAAAAATTGAGCATGGTGAGATTTGAGCCCGGGACTCATGGTCAGAATGCGAAAATTTCTAACCACTCGGCCACGTGCCCAATCTATCTAACTAACTGTCAGTCTGTCTGTCTGTCTGTCTCTCTCTCTCTCTCTCTCTCTCTATATATATATATATATATATATATATATATATATATATATATATATATATATATATATATGACATCACACCAGAACAGGATAAGTATTAATAGCAAAACCAACATTTCCACTTCAACTCCAACATAGACAAAAACAATCCTTTCACTTATAGTACACAGCTGAGAAAAACCAATAACCAGTGGTGTACGTCAACCGAAGGAATCTATCGTATAATTACGGAAAACAAAAATGGAAACACGACCGGGAATGACCATTAAGCATATATGATGACCCGACTGTCGAGGTATTGATTGACATCCATTTCTTAACTGGTATCGGGACGATGTTTAAATGATTCCCTCTATTGACATTTCACTGCTTCGAGTGGAAAATTTATCCGTGGTTTGAGGCAAGTTGAATCTTTTCTTCAAAAAGACGACAAAGAAAGTTAATGTTACATTCTTTTGGCTAAACATAGATAACAACGTGGGTGTAAAAATGCAGGAGAATAGTTTAAAGATTATGAAGACAAAAATGATATACTAACTAACAAGTAGCGACACAGGTTGTTGTAATAGATATTGTGTTTAAAAAAAAAAAAGGTTCTACTTGACAGGGGCAGTTGACATTCACAGGTCCCGTAAGACCAAAATAAAATAAATAAAAAAAAAAGGCTATGAATTGACGAATCAACAATAAGTGGGAACGCCTGATTCTCTGGTAACAAAAGGAATTTTTTTTCCCTTGAAAATATCTTCAGTGGGAATTTTCGCCTCGTAAGCTATGTGGTTAGGATTTGGGACTTTTTTCTCATTTACTACATCTACTGCGTCACTGACAACTGGCCGCTCAAATATTTGATAATCTAGAAAAGACAATTCAATTCAAAGTATCAATAAAGCAACAGTAAAATATTCCAACTGGGACAATAAATGTAGCCAATACACACCATATGCATGGTGTCATTATTATGATAGAAATAATGTCACCCTATGAAAAGACAAGATAGTGAGATTTTTGATTATTAGTATAAAGACAGCTGTGGAGATAAGTGCAGTGAAACAACTACGGAATTACGGTTGTAATCACTTGACACCAGATCGAACAACATATGATGTCAAGACAGTGTTCCAAAGTTATTATCTTGCTTTAGCCATTGTAATGTTTGTCATGTTTTGTCCCAGTACTGATGACGTTGGTAGAGAAAATTATAATATGAAGCATTACCCCAGCCACCATAAATAACTAAATAAAATTAGAAATATTTAAATTAAAAAAGGTAAGTAATCGACATAGAGTATTTTTCTATAGAGAGAAATCTTTAACCGATTCAACACAAATTTCGAACAGGGATCGGAAACCTTCTGGAGAGAGCACGTCAAAAAGTTATGCCGTGTCTTGGAGGAGGGTCATGATATCAAATGTAATTTAAATATTGTCTCGTCCTCAGGCAGTTCCACCCAAAAGACTGCTTTGGTCGGGAGAAACTTTCTTTAGAGAATGTGGTCGGGGGTGGGGAGATTGCCGACTATCCTCACAGAGCTATTCTGTTAAGCTGAAAAAAAAATCACTTCTGCTTCAAAGGTCTTTCTTGAGATTATTTCATTTCTTTTGATAAAATAACATCACATGTATGTGAGTGATCAGTTCCATATTTCGAAAAATATATATTCTTTTAGTTCTGTGTTCATTCAAAACGTGGCTGAACCTGGTTCTCCTGTCAACGTTTCACTAAATTTGCTGTTAATTTTTGTCCTCATCTTTGCATCCATTGTTAATAACTTCCGGGGTAGGTTATTTGAAGTTTCTCCCTCTTCCTGCATCCATTGATATATCCTATGATTTTAAAACTACTCTAAGCCTTTTTACGTTATGACTTATCACAGTAATCTCAAACGTCCATAAAGTATCCTTTTAATTTCCATTTTCTTCAAAACTTCCTCGTTGCTCACATGCTCAGTCTATGTTATTCTCGCCATCTGTCTGTTGAACTACATATCTGCCATCACAAGTCTCTTTTTTATTTGTTAGAAATTGTCTAACATTCGCTGCCATTCATTTTTAGCGATAACGCATAGCAGGTTATCAATCTTTTCTTGCTTTATAAGGCTTACGGCCTTATCGTCCAGTTCATGCACCTCCCCTCATGAACAGTAGAGGCGTATCATGTGTCTTATGTTTAAGATTGGGTTTCTAGATCATTCTAAAGTCTAATTCAACTCTATACTTCGAGCATCGCCGTCTGAACTCTGAAATTTTCTTTGCCAATATTTTTTAAAAATTTCTTTCTCCACAATAGGAGAAGATCGGTTTGTCTATAGTCCGGTTCACACTCCTCTAATGTATTTTAAACAGGAGTGGATATTTATCTAATATTTCCTGTTTAGGATTTGGTTTCCGCTTCCTTCTAAGGTTTTCTCATTGTCTTCCAGTCCCAGTAGTCTCTTGCAGCTTAGTGGCATTATTGCCTTGCTTGGGATGAATTGAAACGATATAACATTTTCAACAGTTTTAATAACATTAGTTATGAGTAAAAATCAGTAATTACACATGTTTAGTATTTCATTTCATACACTGAAGCGACCCTTTTATCCATTACGCCATTTTTCTGTAGATATTCCTGGTAGTTAAGCCTTGAACTTAATCTACCAATTTCCTTAAACCGTGATAAAAGATACGAGCTACATCTCTAGATACGAGATTACCAGAAACTTTCAAGCTAGTTGGTTCTCTCAATTGACTTCTTTTCAGTGTTATTCTCTATTACCTGGACTTCTTTGCATATATGATCATCTGTACCTGATTTCATTGTTTCTTAGTCTATGACAGTAGCTGATCTGACAACCTTGCAACAAAGGCATGTCGAAAAGGATTGAAAATATCCGTATTTTGTATCAGGACAGTGGTTAAAATACGATCAAACATCTGGAAACCATCTCAAACAGATCAGGACATTCAGCCAATACAAGGCCCAGGAACCAATGAATGAGAAATGTGATATCAATCTAAGAGAAGAAAGGTGGGTGTGACTATTACTGGGATATAGATGATAGAAAACAACTGACCGTAGAATTGAAGAGGCTAAAATCATAGTGTATAGTGAAGGTCTCTACGCAGGAATCTGTCACAGAAAACAGCGCTTCTAGGGATGAAGCCCTTGTATTGGAACCCTATTCGAGATTATTTAGAGAAGTTCGATTTTAGAGAAGTTCGATTTTGGAAACATGGTATTACACTCAATTTGAAAATTGCTGTTTCACGTAATAATTAATGACAAAAAAAATAATCTTTTCCAAATCGTTAGCATTTTTTGAGGAAACGAGTTTAAATATTTAATTTAAGTTCAAAATTGGAGGGTTGGTATTTTTTTCCGGTGATCGGTGAAATCCTTATAATATTTATAATTGAAATATATGCAGTTTTTTTGTTTTGAAATCAAAGAGATAATAAGTTCATAATCAAAACCAGTATAACTTCATCATTATCCAGAGAATAAATCGACAGTTGGCTGAAATACAGAATGATGCGTTCAAATATTTACTACACAAGTTTTCCGCCTTGATCCAGATTCTTTTCCCTCACTGTGAAGTCAGATTGATTGGAGATGAGCGGAGAGGCTAATATGAATTTGTCCATTAGATAATTAAACATTTATTCATACTTAGTTATGTCAATGTACAAGACTAATTTTAAAAACTAATTCAAATTACATTAAAAAAAAGTTATATACCTTACCTATGAACATTAATGGGTATGTACCAATCTTCGTAGATCCGTTGGACACTATTGTAAGTACGGGTAATATGCTGTCTAAGTAGTCCACCGCTAGCAGTGGTTTACCTACTTCACGCCGCTGGCGAGTATTTTATTTTGTTGCTGTTATAAAGATTACCATTTCATTTCAAACTTTCGTTTTGGTTATTTCTCATTCAGTAAGCATTCCCAGGTCACAACACTATCTATGAATCCCTTCTATCTATCTATCTATCTATCTATCTATCTATCTATCTATCTGTTATATGACGTACATATGAAGACTACTGGGTATGTCCCAATCCTCATAAATACATTGGACACTATTGTAAGTAGGAGTAATATGGTGTCTAAGTAGTACAACCACTAGCAGTGGTTTAGCTACTTCATGCCGCTGGCGAGTATTTTATTTTGTTGATGTTATGAAAATTTCATTTCATTTCCAACCTCCGTTTTGGTTATTCCTCATCCAGTAATCCTTCCTAGGTTACAACAAAAATATAGCCAATTTTGGGTAAAATTTTCATTATAAATATTTCGTATCTTTTTCAGCTATCAAAGAAGGTATTAAAAAAAAAAACTACATTCATCAAATCTGAATCAACACACTGATCAAAGTTTTATTATCCACTCACAAACTGGATGAACCCTCGATTGTAGATTTTTCAAATAATTTACTACAATAGGTTCTAATGAATAAAACGACATTAGAGTTTCTTTATTTACACGCACGTTTGCAATATGAGGAAAGACTGGCTAAAGTAACTATTGAATATTCATAAATTTTATATGGACAAGAGGCAAGGTACAATCACATTATTATTAAATCGATATACCATTCAATAAGACCTTCATTTACTTCAAAGGGAAATTATCTCAAACAATTCACCTACATTATGAGGCAATATCGTATAGTGTGCATTAAGTTTAGTGCAATTTTCAATAAACAATGCAAATTTTAAATTATTTGTCTTATAATCAGGGCCAACAGAATTATGGTGTTATATACACGTTTATCTATATTTGTTTTGTTATTAATTATGACCCAGCATTGTATAGCATTTTCTGTAATCTTTTACAATTTTTACACAGTTTCGCTTGTCGTATACAGTACAAAAATTACATATTTTGGTTATGGTGATTCATAATTAGAATTCTGTCTTGAAATATGTTCCATTCAATGTATCTATTAGAAAAAATATCAATTTTTTTTAGATAACTGTCTATATATCTGACATTATGTATTAAGTAGACTATTTACATTATTCGGACTATTGTCCTCCTCTTTGTTGCCATATTTATCACAACGTTTCGGCCCTTGTACACACCGGCTTTCTTCAGTTGGTTACATTTATTTCGCTCGCTGGGGTAGACTGTTCTGGTTCACCGTAACATTTCTAATCGATGTCAGTTATCCTTAAGGACACATGGCACAGTGGAGAAAGGCGTTGGGTAGTTCCAGAGATAGAACCCAAAGAGTAGTGAGTTTAATACCTGTTTAAGGCAATGGAGAGCTTGAAGAGGTGAATTAACAGGAGTTAACTGATAACTGACATCCATTAGACATGGCACGTGTAACTAGTACAGTGTACCCCAGTGAGCGAAATAAAGGGTTCAGTTCGACATTCCAATCCCCTGAAGAGGGCCGGAGCGTACATCGGCCGAACCGTTGTGATAAATCTGTCAACAAAGATGAGGACAATAGATCGAATAATGTAAGTAGTGTTTACTTAGATACATTCTTGAAATATAAACATATGAAGCAAAAACCTATTGAAATAAAATATTACTATATATTCTTCAGAAATTGATAAATGATATGAGTTTATTTTTTGGTGTTGGTACATATCAAATCAAACACCAGCATTAACACCAAATGTTGATTTTCTAAAAAAAAAATGTGAAAATCAATCTACCCTAATAGGTGATTCATCTCTGTGGACGTATCATGGTATGTCCTAGGTTTAAAGGTCTGAGCTTTTCAGACAAAAGAATGTAGCTCGTCGGAATATTTGAGACGGAAATAGCGATAGAGCAGCCATAGGATTGCGAGAATTGATCTTTGGGAAAAGGAATTGTAGGGAAGAGATTATGACCTCTCCCATTAGGCCGCCTAAACATCTTTTGAACTCTCTCAATGATAGAAAGTTAAGATTAGACAACTTCCAACCTAAGAATGGCAGCAATTTTTGGTCTGTTTTGAAGATAAAGTATGGCAAAAGGTGTCAGTTATATTCTGGAGGGGTACATGGGGCCGACTGTAATCAAGAATTGTGTATATGGAATTTCATTCAGTTATGGAAGGGGGTGTCATAGTTTTATTGGAGAAAATATTTTTTGTTAAATCTAAGCTTAAGCATTTATTTGTCCATTTATATCTGAGGTAGATTATTATTATTATCATTTTTATTTTCTTTGATTTCTGGCGTTTACACATTTCTTTCCGGGTCCCGCCCAGGGACCTAAGGTTAGAAATGGCGTCATGACACTTTCCACTGACAAAAAATAAAAATAAATAAAAATAAAATTACATAGATAAAGCCCTTCGTAAAGTGTGGGGTGTACTTGTCAGAACAATTTTTTTGTATCTCTTTGAGGTATGGACTTCCGTGAATCCCTTCAATTAGTCTACTGGAATCTTTTCCAACCAATCCTAGGGCTCCAACTACAACAGGGATTGTTGATGTTCCCATATGCCACATTTTTTTTCTATTTCAAGGTCCTTGTATTTTGACAACTTTTTGAATATCTTCAAAGATACATTACAGTCAGCAGGGATTGCTATATCAATAAGAAGGCACTTTTTTTTATTATTATTATTATTATTATTATTATTATTATTATTATTATACACTGCCTTTCCACAAAATTTGTTTGCATCATTATGTCCCAGTTGGCATTTTTTTTTTATTATGCCCCAGTTTTTTCAGATGTCTGCCGGATCCTCTTGGAATTTGGAATTTTTTTTCTTTCTTTATGAGTTCCTTAATTACGTCCTGAAGACAGGTGTTAAAATCACATCAGGTAACACAATGAACTGATGTTTATATCCATTAGGTAAGTAGCAAATCGTAATATATTAATGCATGTTCGTTTGCTATAAGTGACAATACATCATTTCTATGTTAAAATGTTATCAGAGCCTAGTTTCTCTGCTGATTCACTCAAATAACTCATTTTTAGTACTTTTCTCTTTCGATTGTTATCATTTCTTTTCATACGCGTTTACCTGTACATGATTTCATTGTCTCTCAATTCATTTGTTAATATTATAATTTTAGAGGATGGCAGAGCTGATGACTTTACAACCAAGGCGTGAATTTCAAAGTATTAACTGTTCATAACACATCAGTCAGGTCAATTGTCTGGCAGGCATCTTCAGCAAATGATAACATAATCAAGATTAATATGTACAGTATTCTATTCAGTTCTAGTAAGGAATGACAATAGTAGGCAACTGTATAATTAAGATAGTTATTAAATGCGGAAAAAATTGGCCCACTTTTAAGTGTCCCAATAATGTATTATGCATTTCACATATTTTACTTAAAAACATTCAGTCAGTAATGTGCCATACGTGATACATGCTTAGGAGATCATGTATCTTTCGAGGTAGATGTTTTGTTGCCATTTTTTTCTGCGGTAGACAAGTTGCCATCCAGGGCTATAGAACCCGGTCTGTCCTGCTATTTACCCATAGCTGGGCGAGAAGAAGAGGATTCATACCTTTCGCAAGGGTATTAATACTTAAGTGAATGTAATGGATTCGATTGGAATTCGAACTCGGCACTCCGATTCCTCAATCCGAGCTTCTATCGATTGCTCTGCCGACAACCTGGATTGTGCATTTGGTCCTGTACTCATAATGATTTTGAATATAGACTTAGTCATTTTATCATATTGCCAAGCTGAAAATTTCTCCTGAAAAAATATTTCTCTTTTGAAGATGAATTTTCAACTTTATTTACATTATTCGGACTATTGTCCTCATCTTTGTCGCCATATTTATTACAACGTTACGGCCGTTGTACGCTCCGGCCTTCTTCAGGTGGTTGGAATGTCGAACTGAACCCTTTATTTCGTCACTGGGGTAGACTGTTGTAGTTTCACGTGCCATGTTTAATGGATGTTAGTTATCAGTTATCTCCTGTTAATTTTCCTCTGAAAGTTCACCACTGCCTTAATTGGGTATTGAACTCACACTCCTTGGGTCCTGTCACTGGATCTAACCAACACCTTCATTTAAATATGATGACAAAGATGAGGACAATAACTCGAATAATGTAAATAATGTAGATAATACCTCATCTCTGAAATTGTTGAGGGGTCCTCCCCTTTTTACACAAATGGACTCACCCAGTATATACATATACTACGGCTACGTGAAGACGAGAGCAAGACCGAACAAAGTCGAGTCCAGAGTGACAGAGTAAAAGGTTGTAGGTAACCGGAAGAGTGAGGGTGAGATGACAACATTCTGGAGTCACAGTGAGCGAGCACGTAGACTCAGTAAGAAGTCATACAGCGATAGTTCAATACCAAAGACTGTATAGATATTTTGCTACTAACCCGTATTCCTGGAACTACTAACCTGCTTTACCAGTTTGTATTATTACGTTTGAATTCATTATTTCCCTATATTCCTTCTTGGCGTTTGGGATTAATGGTACCGGATTTCAACCCACAACAGAAATATAGACTGAATTTTCGACTGTTCTCTTTTTTATTATTTTACTATTGAAATATGCATTATAATGCGTTGATTTAATTACATTATTCACGCACCGACTATGGCCTCACCTTTTGTGTTATCCCAACGTTTCGATCGTTATGCCCTCAGGCCTTCATCAGGTAACGTTCAGAAAATTTCAAAATTTAATCTACTAGGTTAGATTGTTCTCCTTCCGCTGCCCATGGCCACGGATATCTCGGCTAGTGCGAGTTATTTCTCTGCTCATTTCCGCTACATAATAACTCTCCATTGCAGATTTTGAAACAGAAAAGAACTTGACTGTCGTAAATGCTACATAAACTTTCAATATAATATTGTGAGCCTATTATAATGTTTTTACATAAGTTTTAAATGCAATATAATACAGTAAAGTAACTATAATTCATTAAAATAGTCTTATTCTGAAAAGGTCTCTAAAAAGTCTCCAGTAATATAATGTGACAACAATAATGAAATTATATTACAAGCCCTAACAGTTTCAGGTGCTAAATAACATTTTAAATGCAAAATAATATTTTAATATGTATTACAATACTCTATCTGTATTGAGTTTAGATCTATATAACTGTTGTGGATTCCGGGATGAAATTCGGTCTCCAATGAATGACAAACGCAGGAATGAAATATAACAAATAAATGTATTGACGTAATAATACAATTGGTAATACGGTTAGTAGATCCAGAAGTGCAGATAGTAGCAATAAATATATATATATATATATATATATATATATATATATATATATATATACAGTCTGGTAAACTCAGTCTCGAAGTAAAACTTCCTTAGAGTCTACGTGCTTGTAACTGACTTCTACAAGCGGTTACCTCACACTATTACTCTACCTTCAACTCAATCACAATCACTCTCTTACTACTCTGACTGACTCTGGGTATTTAACGGCAGCAGTCCAAGTACACACTGGTCGAGTCCACTTGTATGGAAATGGGGTAGAACTTATAACAATAATGTTATACCATTATAATTTATGAGTCATTGTCGTAAGAGCCATATAAAATTTTAAAAGTAGTGCAGTGTTGTAGGAAACGCTATAAGGAATTACTCTGCATTATAAAGGTTTTACAACATTACATATTTTGAGAATATCATGCCACTGCTGGCAGCATACTTCAAACTCTTTTTCTGGAATAACATTCAGTAATGTTATCATGAGTTGCTAGATGTCAGAGGTGCCAGCAAATCTTTTTTTATTATTATTTCACGGCTTTTGTTAATCTTTTCTCCTTTCCTCAATCGTCTCTATACTCAGCCTTTTCTCTCACTTTTACTCCATGTAACCACCTGCGTACAGGCTTGTACAGTCAATATAAGCCAGTAGTTTCAGAAATTTAAAGCTATATAAATTTTATGGGTAATATATGTATCAAAATCAATATAATGCCTTATAATGTCCTGGCAGTTGAAAGAACTTTCAAATGTGTACAGCAATGTAATTTGATAAAAATTTTTAAAAAATTACTTAAAATTCCCTATTGTAAGAGGTATATAAAGTTTTAAAAGCAATATAATGTTGCAAAGCATTATAATACATTACATGATACTAAGAGTTGAAAAAGCTCTAGAAATTTTACAGCAATATAATTTGACAAAAGCACTGAAATTACATCAAAATTCCCTAAATTTTATAACAGATTTATAGTTTTAAAAGGAATATCATGTTGCAATGTACTATAATACATTACAAGATACTGACAGAAATACAGATACTCTAGAAATACAGATACTATAAATACAGATACTCTAAAAATAAAGATACTGACAGAAATACACATATTCTAGATATACCGATGCTCTAGAAATACAGACACTGACAGAAATACAGATACTGACAGAAATACAGATATTCTAGAAATTTTATAGCAATATAATTTGACAAAATCACTGAAATTATTTCAAAATGACCTAACTTATGTAACAGGTTTATAAAGTTTAAAAGCAGTATAATGTTGTAAAGCAGTATAATGAATTAAAATGTCGTGTTGAAAACCTTTAGAATGTTTAGGGCAATATAATTTGACAAAAGCACGGAACTTCCATAAAATGCCCTACATTTTTTAAGTGCTATATAAATTTTTAAAAGCAATATAATATTATAAAAGAATTATGGCATAATATCAGCGACTTAACAAAGTTGAAGTTGGAACATATATTCACATTTCAGGGAAGAAATATTTCTCTGGCTCAGAATTCCAGAGACACCCTACGATCATTCCCCGAATTAAATCGTTGCACCTGCTAAAATTAAAAAAAGTTTACATATATGGAGATGTGCTTTTGATAACCGAACGAATTTTATCTGTCATATATGATGGTGATAGCTATAGGTAAAAAAAGAAATTTTTGCGTTGACTCTACTTGTAATCTTAGTGACTAGATTTTTTTTTTGGCAACAGGCTAACGCGAGATGGAATCCTCAGAGCATTTAGTATTGTTGATACTATCGCTAACATTTTTTGTCGAGATTTGCAAACTCTTACGTTTGATTCAATTTCCTAAACCAATCGATGAAATTTGAATAAGCTGATATATTTGGAAAATGCTTTGATAAAACCCAAATTTGCGTTTTAACAATTTCTTTAATTTTATAGACATCATTGTAGAGAATATATTCGTAGGATTTCTTACACGTGAGCATGCAGCATACAACTGGCCATGCTTAAATATTCCTTACTGGAGCAAATGTACACGTTTTATAGCGTTTGTCCTTGTGATATGTTTATAGTTCTCACAAACGCAGGGCGAACTGGAACCAGGATTCTTGTATATATGTAAAAACATAAAAATATAAGCAAAAAAACAATACTGCATTTTTATCAAATAACTATTTGTATATTAATCATTACAGTCAAGTAAAATAGTGGGAGTATTTTGTATGTTAAAAAAAACAATTAATTTTTCCTCTAAAATTGATTTAAATTTACTGCACTAAGCTACGCCCCTAGTAAAACCAATTCCATATTTTACCCCTTACCTGCTTGCATTTCTTCCCAAAATTTGTTTTCGGTCATCAAGAAATTGATATTTCAGAGGCCGTGACGGAAATAGCTATTCATTGCCGACATTGTCAAATATTTTCCTTAAATAATGTTAAAAAAGCTGAAAAATGACATATACATATTTATAATTGATATCTTAATAATAATTTTTAAATAAAGTAATTCTAATACATTTATTTTTTTTAAAGTTGTATAGTCAATTAGTAATTAGAATTATGAATAATATTTTAAAATTTTATTTTAATACGACGTACTCATATTCAAACAACGTTTTAGAAAACGTCTTTATATATACAATCACAAATATAACAGCAAAAGAAAAGTGCAAAAAAAATTTTTGTCATTAAAAAAAGAAACAAAATAAAAAACCACATGCGAAAAACGGATGACATCATTTGTTAGAACAGGCACCCCTTCCCTAACTTAACTTAACCTCATTTCGAAAGTAACTAATATTTTGATACAATTGTCAGTAAATATCCTACCACCCCTTGTCAAAATGATTGGATTTTCCCGTATCCATAGCAACTAATATTAAAAATGTATGTGATTATAATACTCAGTAAATTTCAAAATAAGTTATAGCTAAATTCGCTTGAAAATTAAACTATCCATTTTAATTTAATTCTTTAATTAAATTTGAAGTTTTTAGTTTCTGATTTTGAAACATGGTAATTTCTGTATAGCGATGGAACCATATTTTTAAACTAGTAAATTTATAATATATATATATACACATATAAACACACACATATACATACGCACACACACACACATATATATATATACACATATACACACTTGCCGCATGAATTTATGTTAGATATTTATTTTGAATATAATTTGTGTTAAATTAGAAAAAGTGTATTTAATCTCGCACCTCCACTTTCCATGGAATATTTCACCTTTGAAAAATCGACTACACCTTTCCTAATATATCTTTTCGATTTTCATTTCGACACTGAACTGCATCATGTCACAAAATGGCAGTTTCTTTTCACCGAACGAAGCGTTTGGTTTCAAGCCTTGCATATCGATGTGCTACTATTTTTGTAGTCCCTACGAAGTATCCTACAATGTATCTACGAGAGAAAAAAAAACATCTAACCGCAACATAAGAGACGTTGAAGCCCGCAGTTGGTTAATATCTGAGCTTTAGGTTCATTTCCGGATAATATGCATATCTACTTACGATGATATATTGATATAAAATTCTATTTTCCATTGCACGTAATGATGCAATGCATTAGGCTGACTTATAAATAATTTCCGTTTTTGGAACCAATTGTAATGATCAATACATCATCCTAAACTATTAAGTGTCAGTTTGAAATAAAATTGCCCTATACTTAGATTTTACAAGAGAGTAGCAGCGTGCACAAGAATTAAAGTGAGGAAAAGCTTCCATCCACGACAAAGCTAGGCTAAATATAACAAGAATATTCCAAGAAAAATTTTTAGAATACAGTTAGTCTGTTCTACCCAACCCGTAATATTCACCAGATTTTGCAGTAACCGACTACATTAATTTGTAATCACTTCAAAACTTGAGGGAATTTTCTAATTGAAATCAAATTTAAGAGTTTGCGAAAAAAGATTTTTCACATGAAAAATGCGAAATTCTACATAAAGGCATCGATGTCTTGCCAGATCCCGTCAAATGAAGAATTGGAAATAATAGTGCATGCATAATTAAAATGTATATATATATATATATATATATATATATATATATATATATATATATATATATATAAATATATAAATATATAAATATATATATAAATATTAATAAACCGAAACGTCAGACGTCGACATTTCTTTCATTTAACTACATTTAAGGATTTTTGTTTGTTTTTTCAAAATTTCTTCATATATATATATATATATATATATTTTGAAGAATTACCCAGCATTAAAAAAACGGAATTTATTTATGACTCGGGCTAACAGAAATTTCAGCATTTTTATACCGTTCACTCTATTAATCCTGATTAACGTGGGATTCCACACATATGATATTATATTATTACCATTCAGTTCGAATAAATCTCTTTCGCAACAATTCATGAACAAATCTCTCTGAAATGATTTTAAAGGATCCCAATCAATACATTACCGTTTGCCTTAAGCTCTGTGACTCAGCCTACAAATACTCTTTCTTCATGTTCATCACCAATGGGCAGAACACTGGGCGAATCTGGGATTGCAAATATTTGTATCGAAATGATTATTGTTCGTAAACTGGCAACATCATTTTTCCCAGAAATAATCTTTATGTTCTTCACTCTTTTAGCTCATTTGTTGCTAGGGAAATGAAAGGTTTCTTATACTTTCTAAAAAATGCAATAAAAACAAATGTAAAGAAAAAAAATCAACAAACATCTCATTAAATATATATATTGCGTTTTAAAAATGGTTTTAAATGCTTTACAAGATGTAGTAAAGATATAATGCTAAAATAAGGTTCGCAATTCTATATTGAATATGAGGGAACTATATTAACATCTATCTATCTATCTATCTATCTATCTATCTATCTATCTATCTATCTATCTATGTCAGTATGTTCATATCTGTCTGTTTATCTATGTGTCCGTTTTTTCATCTTCATGTATCTGTTTGTTTATATCTATCTATCTATCTATCTATCTATCTATCTATCTATCTGTCTGTCTGTCTGTTCATATTTATTCATCTATCTCTCTATCTCAGTGTGTTATCTATCTACGTCAGGCTGTTAATCTATCTATATAGCATTCTGCCTGTCTTTTCATATCTATCCATGTTTCTCGCTGTCTCAGTTTTTTTCAAATATATCTATTTATCATTCACTGTTTTCATATCTATTCATCTCTCTCGCTCTCTCTCTCTCTCTCTCTCTCTCTCTCAGTTTCTTCACATCTATCTATCTGTCTGTCTATCTATCTATCTATCTATTTATCTATCTATCTATCGGTCTGTTCATATTTATTCATCTATCTCTCTATCTCAGTGTGTTATCTATCTACGTCAGTCTGTTAATCTATCTATATAGCATTCTGCCTGTCTTTTCATATCTATCCATGTTTCTCGCTGTCTCAGTTTTTTTCAAATCTATCTATTTATCATTCACTCTTTTCATATCTATTTCTCTCTCTCTCTCTCTCTCTCTCTCTCTCTCTCAGTTTGTTCTCATCTGTCTATGATTGTCTATTCGACTCTGATGTTCTTTTTTTCCGTACTTTCTTTCTATCTTTCTTTCGTTCATTTTTTCTTTCTATATTTACGGTATGAGAGTTCTTGATATCACCGACATTTTTCTTCTGCTATTTGTCGTTTTCCTTCAGTACATGAGTGTCTATCGCTCTACACAACACTATTTCCTTTGCTGCCCAACGCATTCAAATGTATATACGACACGCGCTATAGAACATTAGGTCATTTGTCTTAAAGTTAGATACATAGAATTGTAGACAAAAAACGGTATGATATATACTTTTATTGCATTTATAGTAGATGTTTCAGGCCGTCCATTTCCTTCATCAAACAAAGATTAAATTGTTTAAATGCAAGAAAGATATAAAATTTTAAATGGTTTTTGAGCAATTCTCCCAAACAATTTTAACGTCCTCAGTGCTTATAAATATAGACATTATAACATGAAAATCAACACTATACGGTTGTAAATCGTTTGGGATAGCGTTGCATTTCTTTAAAAAAAAACAACTTTAAATGAGATATGTTTGTATTTAAGTAAAATATAACATTTAAGTAAGTACAGGGTATATGCTTTTCTTTTCACAAAAATAAATACTTAACTATAAAACATTATCATACAAAAGCATCATGTTGTTTTCGTCAATAAAACCATCACCTGAGTAAATTACTGCTTTACAATTTCTTAGCATTCTTTGTAAAGTGTTTTTTTTAAGTATACGGTAAATATTCCCAAGCATTCTTCAACCAATGAAAAAAGCTCACATAATCTTTGAATATTCTTTAACATTTTTTCTACCTAATTCTCCTCAAATCATAATTCCCAAATTGTGTTCTTTTTTTTTGATTTGATGCAATGTTGACATAATTTAGAAGAACGTTGTTTTGTTGAAAGGTATTTTTCCAGTTATCCCTAAACAAGTTAGTATACCATGTCGTTGCAAAATCGAATGATATTGTTCTTTTTCATGAATCAGTTGACTTGAATCAAAAATCTAACACACTCTCCCCTAAAATACTTCACATCAAAAGAGAATCACCGCCATGTTTAACCACTGGAAGAGCACATTCATTATTTAATATTTCTCCAGACCTCCTTCTTATATACACTCACTTCTTAATAACTGCAAGTTCACATTTAGACTCGTCTCTCCAAAATACATTTTGCTACTCTTTCAATGTACAATTCTGGTACATTTTTTTCCACTATGGTCTTTTCTGTTTATTCACCTCCCATGACAGGCGTTACTTGATGGCTATGCCCCCCCACCACATCTCACGTTGATGTTAGTCGATTTTTCACTGCTGAGAGCGATATTGATTGCTGTCAACTGTATGGAAGCTTTCCTTCTATTTCTTTTCCTCTCAATAATTAAGATCTTCTCTTAAGATGCAGTTGTTACCTTGGAAGCTCCAGCTATCCTTTTGTCGACATTTGCGCCATTTTCTAACTACCTTTGTAATGAATATTTCACTCCATGTCTAGAAATCTTTGCCTTTGGGAATAGCCTTCTTTGGATAAAATTTCAATTTGTGCCTTCACTTCAATGCTTTGAGGGCTGCAACCTTTTTTCAAATTACTTCAAAATTTAAAAAAAATATATATATTTGAAAAGAAAACGAAAATACTGTCGTAATTGTACGATCTTCTTTTTCTTCAAACAAAGACAGCTACATATGTTTTATTTACAACATTAGTCATTGCTGAGGTTTTATCATGTCAACGAACACTCGATGCCACTTTTGTGACTCAAACGAATATTCGTTGTCAGTTTCGGAATTCTCGTTGTAGTAGAGACTTTGTAATCGCAGTTACAACTATAGTAACGCCGTTGAACAATACTGATGTCAAACGCCTTCGAATATCACTCGCACTAATAGTACTTGCTCGATAATACTCGATCGAATAGTAAGCAGCATATACCTGAAATATCAACTTACTTCCGATATATTGATCATGCTCTATATCACAGCGATGCCAACTGTGATGATCTTGTAGATAAACTAAACTAATTGGGACAGAGAATTGAATTTACATACGAAATAAATAAATTAGAAAAATATCTTTCTTAGACATGTTTTAGCAGCCTAAAACTTAGTGTTCATCGAAAATCAACCAATAAAAATGGCTTAAATTTCTATTCCCATCATAACGACAAAATAATATTCGGAATGATCACTGGATTCTATTTACAAGCACTAAGAATTTGCAGCCCAGAATACTTGCAGGAAGAGGAGAAATATATTAAAAATACTTTCAGCACCCTTAAATAACCTATTTCATATTCAATGCGAAAAAAAATACTCATAAAATGCGTCAAAAATAGAAGAGCTCTACTTCCTCAACAAATCAAAAAAATATATTATTCTACCCATAAACTCTATCACAACTGCAACCGAATATAATTTATCTAAACTCGACATAACATTTGTTACAACTACATCTAAAACAATCGAAGACTTAATCAATAAAAACAAAAAACCAAAAAAATTAAACAAAACAAAACTCTAAAACTTGAAGGAGAGATTTACTTCACGAAGTGCAGGAATTGCCAGAATTAATATATTGGAGAAACCTCAGTAAGTTTAAACAAGAGACTATATCAGCACAAAAGGAACATTTTTACAAACAACAAGAAAAACGCATTGATTGTTCACCGTAACGAAGTTTTTGGTAAGGGAAATGCTACTTTGATGAAAAGAGAAAATAATCCTCTAAGACGAAACTACTGGCATCGCTCGATTTTTGCACAGGTGAAAACGTGACAACATCAACAAAACCGAACCCGATGAAATCCTAACGGCTGAAACGCGTCAGAACAATTTTCCAGTTTGTCATACAATATATATATATATATATATATATATATATATATATATATATATATATATATATATATATATATATATATATATATACATGTATATATATATATATATATATATATATATATATATATATATATATATATATATGCGTGTGTGTTTAACGTATTATGACATTAAAGGCAAGACATTTTTTTTACTATAGGCCTTGATAAATTTTAAAACAAAAAATACATACACAAGTCGACCGGTTTCGTCCCCTCTCGTCAGAACTGAAAACGGGGAAACAAATTATGGGAAGAGAGTCTGTTGTGGGTGACGTGAATGAATAGATAGGGAAAAATATAGTAATAAAAAGTTATAGCACCAAAGATGCTAGAGACACAGCACCGCAAGCCGAAGCAAACAGTCTCTTTGTTTTCAAAGAGCGGGTCACCTGGACCTGATGAACAGCGTCTCCAACACTTTAAGATGGAATATCGAGTGTGCTCTGGCCAGAACAGAGAACCAGCTCACACTAAAATCTCTAGCAGAGGTCAGATTACTTATCAATTGACATATATATATATATATATATATATATATATATATATATATATATATATATATATATATATATGAGATATTTGAATTTAATTTTCTGACGAGTTTTCAGTGTTTGCAGATACATAAATTCCATTTTGGGAGTGAGAATGATTCTGTGCAATGCAAGGTTTCTAGATTGATGGATGGTATTTTATTCAAACTATTTTTGGGGGTGGGGAGGGACTTTCCGACTTTGAAAGGATAAAACCTCAATTTCTATTATGATTAAACAATCCTTATCTATTTTATTCTATTTTTAGTGAATATACCATTAACACTAGCATTTAAATCTAGATAAATTATTTTAGTTCCGTATATTTACTTACTTAATAGAATTTTTCTAAAGGCTACTTTTCTCACTTCCAATTCATCTAACTTCGTCATCGAATACAGCATATTCTCAGGTAACAGAACAAAGACATTATAGTGGATGTTCTTGAATGTAATATATATATATAATATAATATAATAATAATGTGATATATATATATATAATATAATATATATATAATATAATATAATAATGACGTAATAATGTCGTTTTTTGACGTATTTTTTAACGTCAAAAAACGATATTTTTACGTCATTATTTTGGCACCAACCTAATATTTTGAATTACCTCAGACTCTTTCTAATCCTTTGAATTATACTGAATATATACAACTGCTGGTTATTAAATTGGCCAACCCCTTAATGCTAACTGCATATACGTCAATAATGAATTTAATAAGTTGATGAAGCTTGTCATGGATTTCTGAAAAGTATGAACGTCTGGTACACATTATCATGCTTGCTAAAGTTAGCTACCTTGCATTACTTAATGGTCCAATTTTCCAGGCAGCAAATGTAGAGTTAGATTTACCTTTAGAAATACCTAGGGTATATTCCAAAATAATCTTTTGGTCTTTATTAGAACCTCCATTGTTACGACAGGTGCCATATTATCAAGAGAGGTAATGATTTTCATAAATTCTTCTTGTGGCAAATCATGATAATCCTTTCTACTTAATTTGCCTAGTCGTCCTGTAAAAGAAGCCGGGCTTCTTGTTGTACCATCGACATATTTAAAAAATAGCTCTAGCTCAATCTGATGTAATTAACAGCCAATTGTATGTAATTTTCGATGGAACTTCTCCAAAGTAGTTACAAGGCCTGCTTTACATCCAGCATTTGTATATATGTTGTATAGAAGAACAGCCTTAAATCTATCTGTACTATAAAATTCTTCCAAATCACGAAACGCTTCTTCAGCTAGTTCAACGCCAGGAGCACCTATGAGTCAGGTCTTTTCGACTCTCAGTTCCTGTTTATTGAGTAAATGTCAAACTGAGCCTGTTTATTTTTTAGTTTAATGTCACAAACATGTTATTTCTTATAACATAATTATATGTGTACCATTTTATGTTTATAATTTCCACTATTTAAAAGAAATATTCAACTTCAGTTATAAATTGAATTATATTCACCTTATTTCTTAGCACGGAATAATCTGACTAGGGTATTTATTTCAATTAACACCGCAACAGTATCCGAGATATTAATTAATTTGATTTTAATCGCATTTTATCAAATGGAATCT